TTTTTTTTTTTTCTATCCCGCTTCTGACACCAATTTGTTATGTCTCTGTGTTCGTTTGTTAATTTTCGGTAGAAATTCTTTCCGAAGAACTTCAGTGATATAAGTCCTTTCTTAAATAAAAATAGTTTTTTCTTTCTCAATACAACTTTGCAATACACTTAATTTCCACACTTAAACACACGCTATAATTCTCAAGGAACGATTCACGCATTTACTTACTACCGCGCTTGACTCAATTGTCAGTCTCTGACTGTCTGCAATTCTTTATCGATTAATTCGTCTCACGTTATCCGGCGCACTTATATACAGGAATAGAGGGCACCTGATTATTCGTGATGTTCCCCGATCCTTCTAGAATATCATGACGTGTTACCGGGGTCACGTGACTACCGCTGTCATAACAATAACTAGTTTATGTGTATTGTTTAGTAACAGAGAATAATATTAATAATAAAAAGTTAAGAAACAAAATTTTTGCACGGAAATTTTTAACGTATTAAAATAAATATTATAATTGCATTGTATTTAATTTTAGAACCTAAGATTAAAATAATAATTCGTACTAAGAGGGGAACTTCTGGGGTGAGGATCAAAGATGGAAAGGGAGGTTTGGTTGAATTGTATGGCGTAACTCATATTAGGATGTAGAAGTGTTAGATAAAAACAAAACACACACGTATAAAATGTTATTTTTTAATAGTTGGAGATATTAAACGGAAGAAGAAAATTTAAGTATTATCATTCCTTGTAAGTTGTTTATCTTGTATTTTCACAATTTAAGATATCTGAATTTGGCATTAATCCTTGCTGGATTTACTCGTGTCAAGAGTCATGATTTACGACCTCTTCCAACTAATAATGGTAGTAATGATATAATATAGTACAGCAACGACAGTGTAAGTTCAATACAAGTTTATGTATATATATATATATATATTTGAAGGCCTGAGTTAGTACTATTAGTTTTAACTTTAGTCTATACTGCTGATTTATTTTTTAGTAAGACGTAAATTTAAATTTTAAGTGCTTGATCGTCTATAACTTGGGTATAATTAGATACTTTCATATTATTAGTATTACTAAAATATTAGGATTGAGAAATGAACTATTGTTATCATCATCCTACTCATACTAGTCATAGTATCGGTAGTTCTAAGTAAAGTAGTACAATCGTGCTGTAATTTGAAATTGAATGAGCCATATTAAACTAGTTTTTAAAGAAATATTTTTGTTAAATGATAAATAAATACTGCATTCAGACCACTGATAGTAATACAGGTTTATATCTGACTTTTTAGTAACTATAACAAATATATGTAAAACAACTAATTTTTGCTATTGTGTAATTAATATATTTACTGATATATTGAGTGTTTGTAAAGACCTATGAATTATGAAACTGTTATAGGCTATATTTTTAATATTTTAATTTAAATATTTTGTATTATTTGCTAGAGAGAGAGAGAGAGTTTTGATGTTTAGTACTGATGATGTTTGATGCCTGAAAATTTCCTGAGTGTCTAGATTTGTGAGGTTTGGAGAAAAACAAATATTGTATATAAACAGAGCCACTGTGTTTGTTAGTCAGTCAGGCAGTTAACCAGTGAGTATGCAGTTTCTTAATGAGTGATTAATTGGTTAGTGAATCTATTACTATGTTATTGATTGATTACTTAGGTGTTTTAGCCATTTTTAAGCTGTGTTGTAGATATGAAAGAAAATTTAAAAGTGACTGTTTAGTTTTATTTATAAATGTAATATGTAGAACTTTTGCATTGTGTTCAAAGAAATAAATCACTTTTGCTGTTCTTAATTGGATTGGGCTCTGCATTATTTTGATAGAATAATGAAAAAGAACCTAACACAATGATAGAATCCATCACAACAGTATAGTCATGAGTGGGATTATTTTGGTAAAAATAAATAGAATCGTGACTAAACTTAAAAATGATGGCATGCTTGAAATGAGATAGAAAATTTGCTAGAGATAATGAAACAGTAGAAAGAAGAATAAGCAGAAAGAGACAGAGTATTAAAAGAAGATCAAGAATAGAGATAGAAAATTAAAAGAAATGGAAGAAATTTATAAAAAAATATAAACAAGAAGAAAGAGATAGGAATTTTAGAGAATAATTAAAAGAGACACAAGGTTTAAAGAAGAATTAAGAACAAAAATAAATTTTATTGAAGAAGCTATTGGAGATGTGAAGAAGGATTATAACAGTAAATTTGAAGAAGTGCACAATGAAGTACAAGAAAACATCTATAAAGTGCCTAAAGGTTATAATAACAAATTAGAAGTTCAAAAAGACATCTATAAAGTACAGAAAGATTATAACAGTAAAATATACAAGGTACAAAAGGTTATAATAAAGTTTATAATAACAAATTAGAAGTTCAAAAAAAACATCTATGAAGTACAGAAAGATTATAACAGTAAAATATAAAAGGTACAAAATAACATTGGTGACAAAATTAAACATTGTAAAGTAAATTTGTAAATGCAAGGACCAAACCATCCACACCTCTCTCTATATGCATTTGCCCAATAATTTTAAAATCCAAACACCATTAATTGTGAAATATGGAAAAGGAGAATCCATTTGGCTTACACTTGCCACCACTACTGCTGTTCCACCTATGATTGCAGAACCTTCCTGGACTACTCCAGCTATATCACTACCTCATCAAGTTCCAGAATTTAACTGGTTAGTTCTTCAGAATTGCCTACTTGAGAAACCAGCAGATTGCGATGGAAAAACACTGTGGAGGTATATCAGACTCAGTTTGAAATATTTTATAAAGTGAATTGATGGAGTAAGGAACAACAAGCCATTCACCAGATGCCCATTTAAAAGGGCCAGCCTTAATATTAAAAATTCTCCCAGCTCATAGTTATGACAACTATTCAGCATTAGTAGTTGCCTTAACAAATGGGTTTGGAATGACACACCAGAAGAAAGTTTCCAGAATGTAGTTCAGGAGAGGAAAGATTAGACCTTTGCCTAATCATGGATGTTGTAGAAAGGCTTGCCCATTTATTTTATTTAGATGCTTTATGTGAAATGATAGATTCATTGGCCCATGATCAATTCATAGATGAGGATATATAAATTATGCTAAATCAAAGCAAATCCAAGGAAGCTGTCTTGTTAGTGATGGAATTTGAATCCATTTAAGTCACAAATAAATAACTAAAACCACCATCCAGAAGATACAGGATTGTCAAATCAAATAGTATAGAAACATCAACCTTCTCTAATGAAAGTTTAGAAGAGCTTAAATGATTTATTAGACAGAAGACAGTTACATTGATTAATATCACACAATATGAATAGTTAATCAAAATTATGATTAAATCAGTGAATGTCATGAAAATAATTACGAAGTTGAAATAAGTGTTTCTGATTATTGCTGTTTTGTTTATTTCATCTATCCAAGTAACTAAAATATTGCCATTATGAATTCGTTTTTATTTTCAATTAATCCAAAACTGTTCAGCTTTGTCGATTAGCGTTATGACTCCTGAAAATTAGTTTTACTACTTGATATTCTTTCAACTGTCATAAGAATAATTAATTAGTTGAATGCAGTTGATTAGCAACTTCTACTGATCATGTAGCTGTATCCATGAGTTAATGGGGTTATTGATGAGATGTCTTGCAGTATATTGATTGAGTAATGCTTGAAAATGTTTTTCTAATTCATGGTGCCTATGATTATAATTATTTTATTTTTTCATCTTTCATTATTTCAGTTTGTAACTTGGATAGATCTTTTGTTTACTACAGGTAGAAGTTAATTATTTCAACAATACAATTTTTTCAGTAATAAACTTCACTACATAATATGTCAAACATATGCTGTAGAAATGCACACCATAGATTTGATTATAATTAATTATTTAAACCATCAGTTGCAGTTTGTGTTTTAGTGTAACACTCCTGAAGAAGCTGTAAAGCAAAATGCTGAATGTCCAATTACAGGAAAATAACAAATCTGGTGTTACAAGGTCATATATTTCTTGTGTTAGAATGTCTTTTGTACACATTGTACACTACAGAAATTAAATAATATATTATTCTTGTGTACAGAAACAAAAGTATTCTTCTGTGAATTTCCATAGACATATTCACATAGTGAGCAAATTTGGTCAAGGAAGTTCATCAGAGTTTCTTGTTGTTGCAAAAGATTTTTGAAAAACTAAACTTGAAATGATCTAACTCATTCAAATAATGAAAAACAACAATTTTCAAACCTCCGAATACACATTGTTTGTAAGTAAATTGTGTTTCATGGATCTAAAGGTGATAAACATACATGATACATTTCAACTCAAACTAAAATTTGAGAACAACATTGACATTCTTGGCCATAGTATTTTGGCCGGAAACTTTGCAAAATGTTAAGAGGGTATTGTATTACTGTATAGTACCAGAGAATGTGATCTTCACGGTAATTTTTCTTTTCTCCTAGTATTAGCATCACCATGCTTGTGAAGTTTAATTTTTAACTGGTTCACTTTAAGCTGCAAGTATTTGGAAATCATGATACTTGTGTATAGAAAATGAGGCTGCTAAGTATCATGTAAAGTGTTTGCATGCCCTATATTTAGTATACCTTGGAGCTGACCATAGCCATTACTTATCTTCAGCAAAGACTTCACCGGAGATGAGTCAATCTGCCGGAGAGCCTAAAGTTTCTGTCGAGATCATTTCCAGAGTATCAACAAGGATGAAGCTGCCAGTATATTCCCTCTACTATCTACCTGGAGAGAACTTCTCCAGTCATGAGACAGCAAGTGATGATAAAGAACAAGAGGTCATGCCATCTTTGTACCATAAGCCACTGAAAAAAAATCAACAAAATCATTTTATGAATGGACGATTTAGAGACAGTAAATGAGATAACAAAGAGTATATTGCTTTGTTTTTCAGAATTTTGATTGCATGTGGTTTAACATTTAATTAATGACTTTGTGATTGTAATGGCTATTTATGAAAAGTATTTCCGAAATGGTCTTACATCCTCTCATGCAAAGCTATCTTGATCCTGGACTACCCTCTAAGCACTGCTAAAATTTTTTGCTAACAGTGAACCAGTCCTTTATACCCCATCAGTTTTGCAGCGTTTCAGAACATGTGCTGATCATGTGACTACCTTCCACCAATCATACTGCGCCCTCTATACTAGCCCTCAACTATTTTAGAGAAATCCTCACTTTCTCGATTGGCATTCTAGTGTATAGACAATTGTTTTAACTTGCTCTCCAAAATTTTGATTGTGTTTGATCTTCTTGTGCTTTATTTCCATTGTCTGTACTCGTTTGTTTTAGAAGTATTTCTGTTTTCCAAATTCTAATGCATTCATATGAATTTAAGATTTAATATGGTGGATGATTTAATTCCTGCAATGGTAGACAATGGTTCTGACACAAGTCCCCAGTTCTCAGGGTCGACGAAAGGAAGAACAGGCTTTAGTTCATGGGGAGTTTGTGTCTTACGTTTGGCTGATGATTTCTTCCTTTCTTTTGTTAGGAAGAATATAACTACTATCTTTCTAAGGCACTTTCCACCTGTTACTGTGCCTCCGTGTAATCTGTTGAGTTAGGTATTGTTCTTTTTCCCAGGTAAGTTTCAGCATGTATTCCTCAATCCCCAGTAGTTATACCCATGTTTAGCAAATTTAAGTGAGCCTGTGTGGATTTAGGTCTTTCATGTCTTCTTTGCTCAGCATTTGATATGTTTGATTTTTATAATTCTTTTACCATCTAAGTTACTTTAGTTTAAATTTGCATTTAGAGTTTGATTTACTTTGTTTTTGTTTAATTTTTGGTATATGTATGACTTTTACATATTAGTTACTGTCAGGGTAATTGTAACTTCTACCAAGTTTGTGGATGGGTGGGTTTGTTATTTATACTTCCTTATGTTATTTAGTTTGTAAGTTCTTTCTCCTTTACTGCTAATCTCATCTTACTGGGGATTAGATACGAGTCAAAAATTGTTATTGTTAACTGGGTACCTTTTTTATATTCTCATGTTCTTCATGGTAGGTTTTAATTTCCTGTCCTTTTTCTTATTGGTTGTTTGAGTGGACTTATAAGTTCTATACTTACATGTCTGTTATCTTATAAGTTCCTTTGTGGTCTTGTACTTTAGGTGTTGCTTATTGATTTATGTTTTAGGTCGAATTTCATAGTTTTACACGTTTGCTATTTTTATGTACTTTGTAGATTCTACAAGTTTCTAGGTTTTGTTGGTTCGTTAGCCATGAGTACTTTCTCTAAGTATATTTAGTATGTATCTTTTTGGCTACACTTCACAACAGTTATTGGGTTCTACGGGTTCTACTTGAAGGTTCCTACCTTCAGTTCTGCCCTTCCCCTATCCACTTCCCAGATCTCCTTACCTCCTCCTCAGGATCATACTTCTTACAGTCATCTTGCCTAGTCTGTTCAAGACCTCCTTCACAAAAGGGCTATTGATTGGGTTGTGACCACTCAACCTAGGTTTTGCTCCCATTTAATTGTTGCCCCTTGACAGACGGGAGATTGAGACTTGTCATAGACCTGTCCCGGTTAAACTCTTATCTGGAGCCACCTCGCTTCACCATGGAGTTCTTCCTTTCACTTTGGGTTTTTTCCACTGGGACTTTGGATGACAAATTTGTCATGATGGATGTTTATCTTCATATTCCAACTGCTCCAGTGTCACATCATTTTCTTTGGTTTGTCCACGTGAGTCATGTCTTCCAGTTCTGGATGCTGCCTTTCAGTCCTTCTTTGGCTCCATATGTTTTGTTGAGTGGTATGCTCTTTTGTCAGTCATTTTCACTCATTGGGTTTTCAGACTCTCTATTCATGGATGACTGGGTCCTGCTCGTCTCTTCCCATGTTCAGTCAGTCAATCATGCCTGCTTACTTCTTCAGGAAGCTAATTAGGTGGGGTTTTCTGATTCAATTGGAGAGGTCCATTCTTAACTCCATTTAATCTTTTATTGCACTGGGGTTTTTACTTCCATTCCTATCTTTGCAGGGCCAAACCTTCTCCTTTTGAGATGTGGGCTTTTTTAAAAGCCGTCATTACCTTGGGTTGAGCTCACATGCATTTCCTTCAGTGAATGCTTTTTCACCAATATAACTTCTACCATGATCTCTTGTTGGACCATCCCATTACCATTACCCCTGGGATCAGGATCGACCTTGCTTGGTGACTCAACAGGGAACTGACCATGTTGGGGGTTTCCATTACTTCACTTTGGTTTGGGGGGGGGCTTTTCTCGATTCACAAGAGATTTTCAGTTGATGGTTTGTCAAGGAGGCTACTCCCCATTTCCATATCCTGGAACTTTTGGCAGTTTATCGGGCCAAAAGTTCCAGGCTATCATTTTCTCCTGCTCCTGAGGGGGGTAGGTGGTTATAATTCATTATAACTATTCCACTGTTGTCGGCTATATCATGAAGCAAGGAGGAACCAAATCCAGATCTATGTGTTTTCAGATGCTGAATCTTCTTTACTGGGCCTACAACCAGTACATGATGACCTTGGTGTGTCATGTTCCTGGCATCATGAATGTGGTGGCCAGCCGCTTATCTCGACCGAACATGGTTCCTTTTTCCACAGGTATTTTGGTGGGTGTGTTTTCAACTAGGAATACTGCATATAAATGTGTTTGCCACTCACTGGGAGTAGATGCATTCAGTCAGGTTTGGAGGGTGTCTTCACTTATATACCTACCCTCTGATCAGACTCCTCTCCAGAGTTTATTCCTTCACCAGACCATTTTTTATCATGTCCTGCTTGTTGCTCCATATTGGCCTGCTCTGCTCAACATGTTCCATCTGCTCTGGCCCTTGCTGGAGCAACATCCCCTGTCATTTCTTCTGTCCTAGTCTCTCCTCTGACAACCATGATCTGATATGGCTCATTCAAATATCACCAAACTCCATCTACATGCATGGCTTTTGCCCGGTTCCTTGTCTCAGCTTAGGGGCTTACCCCTGGTGTAGCATCTTTCCTTGTCCATACCTTTCAACCTTCCTCCTTGTCTGTGCACTAGAGGTGTTGGTCTTCCTTCAGACTTTGGTCCATTTGCCATGGCTTCTACTTATTTTGTTTTTCTGTTCCTCATCTGTTGCAGTTCTTCATGTGGATGTTTGATAAGGGTTTGTCCATGTTGCTATATAACTGTTGCTAGTTATAAGGCTGCTGTGTCAAACACCTTCTATTCTCTTACTTCCAGAATGCTTTCTCCTCCCTGGTTATTCCCCTCCTTTTCCATTCCTTTTGTCTGGCCCATCCACAATTTTCCTTTGTTCTGCCGGATTGGGATCTCAGTGTTGGCCTTCATGCTCTGTCCAGTTCTCCCTTTGAACCCATTGCAATGTATTTCTTGTACCATCATCCCCTTCAGGCCTATTTCCTCCTCCTTCTTGAATGGGGTCATCGTTGTTCCAATATTTATGCCATTAAAGTTTCCTGTATCTTTTACCATTTCTCATGTGTTGTCCTCAATCTGGATTGGACCTTCCTTCCCAAGACATCAGCAGCCTAGTAAAGTTGTTTAGTCTTTTTCTCCTATTTCCTTATCTTCCATTTCCCACCTGTACTCTCATTTGGATCTGGATTGACAATTTTTCCCAGTTCATTCCCTGCTATGTTATGTGGCTTATGCTGCCTCCTTTCATGGTTCTTGTTCCCATGTAGTTGTTCCATGGATTTCCTCTGTTTCCAGTGATCTGTTACCTATTTACAGTTACTGGTTGGGTTTGTCAACTCATATAACTGGTGTATTCTGACTTGTACATAGAAGTTCAATATTTACCTAGTGTTTCTTCACACTACATTCCTCATCTAGCTATGTCTTTGGCTGCTCAAATCTGTTGTCCTACAAGATCCATGGCACTTCCCCTGGATATTTTTGATCAAAAATTCCTTATGCAAAGTGGTTTCACTAGATGTTTTCTGCCCAGATGGACTGCACTTGACATAGTCCAATGTACTTCACGATGCTTCCCTGGCTGTTTTTTGCCTGAATGAACTGCACTTGTTGATCTCACAAGGTTATGCAAGGTACTTCCAGTGGATGTTTCTTGTTCGGGTGGACCACGCTTGGCCTTTTCATATACAGTTCATGGTCCTTTAGCCATAGCCATGTTTAGTTATTTTGTTTTCCCTGGCACCATACCATGGCTGACTATCACTATGTTTGGTACTACAGCCTGCTACATATGTGAACGAAGTATGACATGTCTGTTGACAATGGACTGGCTATGAACCTTCAAGATTACACTCACGTTTGGAGTTTTTTTTCATCCTCCTTCATATCCAAGGTTCTTCCCCTGGATGTTTTTCGCTAGGGAGGACTGCACTTTTTTATCTCAGTATCTTATACAAGGCATTTCCACTAGATGTTTTGCTTGGATGGACTGCACTTGCACTGATGTAACCCAAGGCACTACCTTTGGCACATGCTTATATGAGCCTGTTGTCACTTCCACACTAGACTTTTCATGTTTGTTAATGCTGTGCTGTTTCAAGTCATGGTTCTACAGCACTTTTCCACAGATTTGAGGCTGTATGTCCCTTTTCTGAATGCATTGGTGCCTGCCAATTTAGTTCCACCCCCTTTTTGTTCCTGTGTTAATTACTGGGTGAAGAGCATACCTATTCCAGAAGTAGTGCTTTCTTTTTATATTCGTGCACATTTTTTATTTCAGTGTGGTCATTTTCTGCTTGATTGGATATTGATGTGCCTTCACAGACCCCTCCACCTTTGTAATGTAAGATTCTAGCTTTGGGTGAGAGTAGGCAAGATCG